TCACGGCATTGTTGCTATTCAACGTTGACTCGCGTATATTGATTAAAAATCTTTTTTTTCGAAAATATACAATTGAAAGACTTTAATTTTTCTCCATCACCTACCTGATTTTGACTTTTGCAGAGCACAGAGCATATTTAGTGAGCCATCAAAGTTCAATTGAAGCACCAATTTATTCATGATTCGCAAACAGCGCAGTATTATGTCTTGAATTCCACCTGGAAACATGCCCTTGCACTGAATTCGAATGATAACCACTCTCCTTTCGGATATCATCCGAAATATGCAAATTTTACATCTTCCCATATGAAAGGTCTTTATTATTATAATTATAAGCCAATCAACCCACTCGATTATACAATTCTGGTAAAGCATACATTCTAATTGCTTTATGCATTTTGACAGATTTACAAAAACAGAACAACTGCTGATCGATCACTGCAGAGTGAATTCTACTCATAGTGTTTAGGTTGCACAAATAAAACATTTTTGTTTGAGTGCGCGGACACCTTCACTCGGAAGTATATAAGACTCACCATCGAGTAGTCTTCGTTTTGCAAACTCATTCAAATTTGCGTTACTTTCAACAAGATTCGCATACCTCCAAATGCCCAAATGACCACTTTCACCACGCAAACAGAACACTTGCATATGCTCATAGTGAGCCTGGGATGCGTTCGCATTACGCCATTCCAACTCAGTCCCACTCATATCTCGAAACTAGTAACAAACCTGAAATTGAAATTTGAGAAACAATGAGTTCCAATAGTGGAAAGTTCGTAATGAAATAGGTTTTGATGAAGCAGTGTTTCACTGCAATATTTGATAAGTTTGATAAATGTTTCACTGCCAAAATCAATTATTTTGCTCAAAACAGATAATGAGATAGTCCTGAACTGAGTGGTGCAATTTTGAAAATATTATTCAGTCATACAGTGTAAATGAGAAAGTCTTCTCATTATCTGCATTTTTGATCAAGAAACCAATCGAATATCCCCATCTCTTTCAGTATTCAATTCAGATAACTCCCATATTTTCCTACGAATGCAAGTTATTTTGAAGCGACCTCAAATTTCAAAAGTGGTTTTGATGTTCATCTCATTCTTTTTGGAACATCAATACGAA